CTGGCGACCTGGATTCAATTTGTGACCAAAATTTTTAATCATTTCTCAGCTCGACTTTACGAGTTTTTTTCCAGAATCGGACGGAAGACCTCTCGTTGCTCGCAACGAGATCGTTTCTAGTTATTATTAATTATTGTTTTTTTTTCTTACCGATTTTGTGCACGCGAGTTCTCGAAAACGGCTCGCTCGATTTTCATGAAACTTTCAGGACTGATAGAGCATGAAAAAAAACTAGAAATATATTTTTTTTGATGACGTCACTTCCGGTTTTGAGTTTTCCGCGTTTAAGTGATTTTCAGAGGGTCACTTTCTCCGGAAGTTTTCTGAAAAACCACTCAACACAGAAGCATGAAATTTTCAGTGATGCTAGAGCAACCTTTGGAGAAGTGAATTTCGTATATCACAACCACCGGAAGTACGAAGCGCCGACGCTCGCTATGGCCCAAAAATAGTCCTATCAAGAATTTCAAACTTTTAAACACCTTTTCTACGATAACTTTTTACCTAGAAATATTGTGTTAAAACATGTAGAACAAAAAAAGTATAGAATTCCAAGATCTTTCAAATGATACCTCGAAAAAAGGGCTGACCCCTTAATTCAGGGGCCGAGAGGGGCTGAATGTTTTTCCTTTATATCTCAAAAAGTATTTAAAATTTGTAATACGTCAAAGAAGCAAAGTTGTTCAAAATGTCAAGCTTAATCTATTGGCGTCGTCAAAATACGTCCGGCGTCGTCACTTCCGGTCAAACCGGAAGTAGTCGGAAAACGCGTTTTTTGCCGTTCTTGACAAGTTTTTGGGTTACATATGTCTCTAGGAGCATAAAAAGTAATTTTTCCGTCCGTCGTCGTCACTTCCGGTCAATCCGAAAGTTGCAAAAAATGGCTTATTTTGAAGGTTTTGATGCAAAAATGAAATTATAAAGTCACTGGAGACTACTTAGCTCATTGCTTTCTTTTGTTCCGTCACTTCCGGCACTTCCGGTCAAAACCGGACGAAAGACCTACTCGTTGCTTTGCAACGAGCTTTGCTCTAGTTATTATTATTTTTCTGACCATCTAATTTTGTGCATGCGATTTCTCGAAGACTACTGGATGGATTTTCATGAAATTTACAGAAACAATGTGTTGTTACCTGAAGTTATTTTATCCGTGCGATTTTTTTTTTAAATTCCTTTCTGGTGCCAAGTTACGTACAATTTTCTGATTTTAAAATGACATTTTGTCCGCGGATAATCTCAAGAACGGTAAAAGATATCAATGTGAAACTTTCAGGGATTATAGATCGTGATAAGTACTATCCAGGACGCAATCTTTTGTACGTCGTCTCTACTTCTTGTCGTTACGGCATGCGAATTTAAAAAGTCGAATTTTCTAACTTTTTTGTTTTTCAATATTTTCGAAGTATATTAGTATGGTTAATAGAAACCTTCTTAATTAGGCTGATTATATAATTTGTTTGTAAATTGATAAATCCAAACTCGAGATATTAACATTCAAAAATCTGAAGCGGGACCAAAATGGCGGCGGTCTCTGTCAACTCCTTTACAGAGGCAGCCGAGCGTTTACTTGAACGAAAGTAACATAAAAAGCAATGAAATGTGAAGGAATGATTGTCACGACGTAGGTACGTTGCAATTCTGTGTCAAACTACATTTATAATCCAAGGTCTCCTTACACGTCTTCTTTAATTGGTTTAGGTTGTTTCTCAAAGTAGAAATAGAAAATACCTACTATCTTTTGTTTTGCATCATGGAAACACATAGCTTAAATCATAGTTATAAGTAATAGTTTTTCAAAAAACAATTTACATAGTAAGTACAAAACGTGACCTCTGTTTTCCCATGCACACTTGTGTCATATTAAATTCATAGAAGAGACAACTGTTAAAAAAAGACAACGTTTTTTAAAAAAGATACCTATATTATAAGACCGTTTAATTGACTTTACATAAACTTTTTTCTCAAGGCAAGTTATTGAACATAATGGAATCTTATTCCTTGAACCTCGCAGGGTTATCGAGGCATTTATTTTTTCGGTGAAACATACCACTTTTCATGAAAGTGTAGGGAATCGGAATAGTCCACTGTCGTGATTAAAAGGAAAATTAAAAACATTTTCCATTCATAGCTGTTTCACTGCTTAAGTGTTATTTGCCTATAAACGATATGTTACATGTATGTGTTAAATATACTTTCCACACATCGAAATTTAGGCGATTAGAACGCTCTTTTGTTATTTGATTGAAACAATCACACCTATTTAATGGAACATTCTAAGGGAAAGGCGCTAAGATTTACTCGTGGCGTTTGGCGCAAAATTATAAATAGTGACCCTCCTATGATAATTGCAAGATATATTAATTGTTGCAGAATAACATGTACATACAAGTGAATTTAGAGTAGTTGTTCAAATAGTGTAATCGATAAGCGTATTGGATTTTCACGCTAGTGACCCGTTACAATTACCAGTGTGTCCAAAAAATATGTTTAATCCATTTTCAGCTCGATTTTATGGGTTATTTTTCGGAATCGGACGGAAGACCTCTCGTTGCTCGCAACGAGATCGTATCTAGTTATTTTGACTTTCTAATTTTGTGCACGCGATTTATCAAAGACTACTGGATAGATTAATATGAATTTTTCAGAGAAGATATGTTGTAACATGAATTTGGTCTATCCGAGCGATTTTTTGGAAATTCTTCTCTCGTGCCAAGTTACGAACCATTTTCTGAAATTAAAATGATATTTTGTCCATGGATGATCTCAAGAACAGTAACAGATATCAATGTGAAACTTTAAGGGATAATAGATAAGAACTATCCAGGACGCGACTTTTCGTCGTCAGTACTTCCTGTCGTTAGGAGATGCAAATTTAAAAAATTGTATTTTCTAACTTTTTTGTTTTTCATATTTTTCATTTATTTTTTACTGGTAATAGAAAGCCTTCAAATAATGCTTTCTATATAACTTGTTTTTGTATTGATAAATCCAAACTTCAGATATTAATATTTAAAAATATGAAGCGGCTCTATCTGTAGACACCGACATTTAGCGCGAAGGGAGACAGATGAGCGTTTGCTTGAACGAAATAAACGTAAGATAAACTAGAGCAAAGCTCGTTGCAAAGCAACGAGAAGGTATTCCGTCCTGTTTGACCGGAAGTAAATTTTATTTTTAAAAAAAGAGAAATGACGTCTCCAGTGATTTAAATCTTCCAAATCTGTGTTGATTATTGCAAAAGTAAGCAATTTCTTGCTATTTCCGGTTCGACCGGAAGTGACATCGACTAACGGAAAATTAAGTTTTATGCTTCCAGTGACAAATGTTTCCCAAAAACGTTTCAATAAGCGCAAAAATATGCATTTTCTGACTACTTCCGGTTTGGTCGGAAGTGAGGTCACCGGACGTATTCTGATGATTGCAATAGATTTTACTTGACATTTTGAACAACGTTGCTTCTTTGATGTATTACAGATTCTCAATACTTTTTGAAATATCGGGAAAACATTTTCCGCCCCTCTAGATCCCTTAATTTAGGGGACAGCCTTTTTATCATGATATCATTTAAAAGACCTTTTAATTCTGCACAAATTTTGTTTTATATGTTTTAACAAAGTATTTACAAGTAAAGAGATATCATAGAGAAAGTGTTAGAAATTTAGAAACTCTCAATATGACTTTTCTTAGACCATACCGAGCGTAAACGTGCAGTACTTCCGGTGAAAGTTAACAACACAATGCAAATCTATATATGTTGCTCTATCTTCTCTAAAACTTTCATCTTCCTGTGATGAGCAGTTTTATAGAAAAGAGGCGGACAAACTGACCCTAAAAAATCTTCGAACCGGAAGTGAAATCATCAAAGTAAAAAAAAAGTGTATCAAGATTTTTTAATGCTCTATCAGACCTGCCAGCCATTTTTTCTGGATTTGACCTGAAAGCTCTTAGGATTTTGAACACTTTTTATCCAACAACTATTCAGAGATTCTTTTTTCGATTTTGAGATATTTGCAAAAGAAATCTTAAGGGGCCAACCCTTTAACTCTTTAATGAGGACGTTTAGCAAGAAATGAAATGCTGCATATTGTTTAGAACACTATTTTGAACATCTTTTGTTCAATATTACTTACCAAAATATTTCCCACTTTTGAGATAGAAGGCAGTTCTAGAGATAGAAGAGCTTCTTGCAGATGTCAAGTACTAGTACATACATGTATACTTGACATATACTTGATAGAGGTCTCAGGAGCATTTTGAAATCCATCTTTTGTGCAGTTGAGGTAAAAATTCGGAGTAATTAATCCAGAACCAAGCGCATTTTTTGTACGCAATAAGCATATTTTTTAGATATGGGCACTGTAGCTCTCTGGTGATCCATCCCAGCTAGCGAGCTACAGATCTGCAACTAGCCTTTCACCAAATATATTCTATTAAAATTATGATTCCATCTAGTTTGTTAGCTTAAATTGCTAGAAATATAGTGTAAAAATGCAGAATGAAAATAATGAATGTTTAGAAATGAAATTATTAATTGTCGGAAATGCAATGCAAAATTCCGGAAATCAAATGCAGCTAAAAAATGGTACATGTACCTCTCATTACCCGAAGAAACTAATACATGTAGTACATGTACACACTTCGATGCTTGATTGCATAAGTTTTAGAAATTAAAAAGTTTATAGCAATACTTGCTTGGGCCGGTATTGCCTGTATGTCATGTTCAATAATTTTACACAATTTTAATTAGATAGCACACATTTATTGTGATGTTTAAATGTTTCAATATTTCTTAGCTGTAAACCACATCATGTCAGAATTTGAGCTGAAATTACATGTATATCTATTAGTAGATGTCTGCTTGGGCCGGCATCTCATTTTACACCCAAATGGACTTCATTTTTCCATTACAACGAAACATGATACATTTTGTATATACTGATATCAGATCTGATGTTATAAATTCTGGTCTCCTTTGTTTTTATGTTTCATATATTTGAAAAAAAGTGTTCTCTTTCCTGGTGGGCTGTTGACCCCTTGCAAGGCCAAGCTTACTTTGTATTTTTGTATTATGGAGAGTATGTGTTTGTTACCGTGAAAGGTTTTTTGCATGTTTTTTTGTTGTCAGTTGATTATGTAATCTTATGTCATAATTTTGGATTTTACATGTATGTATTTTACATGTTTTATAATTTTTAAAAATTTTATCTCAATTTGAGTAAAATTTTTCGCAATATAGCCTGTTGTTGTGTGTTTTCTGCTAAAGAAGCATTTACTGAGCAAATCATTTCGGTTATGATGAAAGAGGAAGGCATAAATGAAAGTTATTTTAATAACTGTTTTTATGTAAACGAGTGAATCATGGATTTTATTCTATTTGTTGAATTTCTGTATGCAATCTTATTTAGTGTGTAACCCGTGGTGAGCCTCGATGCATCAGAGTTTTTCCTGATTTCTGATTGGTTAACCGATCATATTACAATTTTAGCGTCCCTGATGTAAACACTGTGAAAAAGCTCTGCAGATTTTTTAATAATCCCGCCCACCATCCCCTGCATCGCCTTTGAATTTAATTTTTATTTGGTAAGGGGATGTTGATCAAGGATGTTGACCCCTTGCAAGGCCAAGCTTACTTTGTATTTTTGTAAAGATTATGAAAGGTTTTTTGCATGTTTTTTTGTTGTCTTTTTAGTTATAGTTGATTATGTAATCTTATGTCATAATTTTGGATTTTACATGTATGTATTTTACATGTTTTATAATTTTTAAAAATTTTATCTCAATTTGAGTAAAATTTTTCGCAATATAGCCTGTTGTTGTGTGTTTTCTGCTAAAGAAGCATTTACTGAGCAAATCATTTCGGTTATGATGAAAGAGGAAGGCATAAAATAGGTTATTGATTATTCTTGGATTTAAACACCACCCCTGACCTGTATGTACTTGAACAAACTTACCAATTGACATTCTCGACTCTGAAGGATTACATTGTATCATTTCGGGGAAGGGGGGTTACGTATCGCGATGAGAGGAAATTTAAACATCTCTCAGTCCACTAATCATACACGAAAGAATGGCTTGCAACTGCACGGCTTTCTTAGATGCAGTTTTGCATTTGTTAGAAAAATGTCTAATTACTCATTTTTTTTCTCGTATTCTGAAAGCTCTGAATGTATATATTTTGGGTGCTCTTCCATGTAAAACTGCATGTACTTAGTTACAATCATGTACCCGTAAAATCGTGTCACTGTGATATTTTTTTTTATTCGAGGAAATAAAAAAATACATAAGCATATCATTCTGTAAAATACAATTTTAAGTTCTGTAGTAAATAATGCAAAACTCGAACTAAGTTGCTTAATTTGATTTTCGATTTTCATGAGAATTGGAAACATCACTTCAAGTTACAGTTTACTATGTGCATTTGTCATGCTTATTTGTATTTGCTAATTTAAAGTGCATCGCAAATTTCTCTGATATAAAGCAATTAGAATAGTTTGATATACGCCCGTATACATGTAGCGATTGCATTAACTTCAAAGTGGAGAGGGGGTTAGGACCTAAGAAAATCCTTCGTACTACATTTGTACCTTTCCAATAATAGAATCATCCGTACAAATCAAAAACAAGTTGCAGCCGTGATATCCCCAATTTTTTTAATAACGAAACTATAATCTACCTCCTAATGGTAGAACCTTTAACATTAATTTATGTACATGTGCAATTAAAATTACTATCAAATTGGCAGATCATTATGGAAAATGTTATCGATAGGTCATCCTGTGTCACCTTTCAGTGTAACCGATGAACTCGTCTATAGATGTATTGACAGCCTTACCTGACACCCCTACTAATGTGTTCGGAACCTTTTATTTTTCTGTGTTCTACAAATTATAAAATCCGATGAGTTCAGAGTAGCTCTGGCAGTGGCTCTGGCGAGAGTTCGCGAGACTACAGCGAGATAGGGTAAATTATTCATGGAAATGTGGCTAGGAAGTGACTACCACGTGGAGACATGGTAAACAGAAAAGTTATGTTGCGTTTTAGTTTTCACCACCCTATAATATCATTCTGTAGAAATGTACTTCAATTGATCTCTCTTGAATTCATTCAAATTTAAATTATAAGTATTATTTATGATACAATTTTCTGCTATCATGAATTAAAATTTCTTTTTTGACAAATGTTTTTGCATGGGAATCCGGACTATATTTTTTGGCGTCAGATTAGCAAACAATGCACCAATGTGACTTTAACTGACCAATCAGCTGAATGAGAATTGCATTATGGGTTATTACGAAAACTACAGAATTTTACGCTAGATAAATTCCTCCATTGTACTATCGGTGAATACAATTGTAAGGTGGATTCTCTGGCCAAAACACGTGACCACGAGTATAGTTATGTAAAAAATGTTTTGTCCATTTAAATGCATACGAGAAGGTTCTCGTTTTCCTTACCCTTAAAGTGCTGGTGTTCGGAACTTGACACTAACTACATCTACAATTTATTAAACATATTTTTTCTAGTTAACAACAAAATAAAAACGCCCGTGACATCTTTCATAGTCAATAGCCATATAGCGACAGTAACCATATAAGTCAAACAAAGGTTTGTCAGTGTAGATGATATTACACATTTTTTACCAGCGTATCGGTCACTAATGAGCTCTAATATTTGCTGTAAACTATGATAAAATATATTCTTTTTATTTACCCCCCCCCTCTTTAGCCACCCTTTTCTGTTGAAAATCATGAGTCTTTCAGAAAGGTCTGGAAACACATTTTTCACAGGACATGTTTTCAAAAGAATTAAACGGACTATAGCAATTTCCTGTTTACTGCCAATTTTATTTATAAAACCGGTTCTAACCTATAACCTTTGAATAGGTAAACCTAAACCATGTGTCTTGAATTTAAATTACAATAACAATAGTAGGGGTGCCCGAGGAGCCGAGAAAAGCGCCAAATCGCAGCACTTTTTATTCATTCGTCAAAGAATAGAATCCGACATTTAATACTTTTAAATCTTTGAATATATACACGTACATTTTCAAGAAAACCTTCATGTTTGTGTCTAGAAATATTTTTACGATTTACACAAATAATACATTTTCTTGATTTTAAACTGAGTAAATCGATGACCTAGCATCGTTTTAGATAACTCTAGGACTTGTGTGTAAAAATCGAAGAAATGACAGTAAATCACTTGAAAGACCCGATATGATTTTTAAAAATAATTAACTTAAATAAGCTAATAATTAACTTAAATCATGTGGTAGCGATAGAAAATAGAACGGCAATGTTAATTTTGTGTACCCGTCCACTTAAAGCCTCGCTACAGAGATTTCTCACGTTATGTTTCCCATGCAACATTTGATCGAAAGAAGGGTTGTAAATGTTAAATGTAAAACATGATTAGTTAAAGACTGAATTATTTAATTCATTGTTTTATTAACTTAATATTTTGTTTGTTTCAACATCAAACGGAGAAAATATTAATGCAAATGTTTGTTGAAACAAGATTTCACACGGTACGATGTATCCGACTCTCTGAATGTATATAGGTCAATGCGGGATTACATAACAGTAAACACAAAGCAGTAAGGGTCCGAGGAAAATTCACGATGTATGAATTAAATGACAGTAAATTATTTTAAGCTTGAAAGTTTTTTTCAAAAATAAATAATGCTATATTGAATATTAATCGAAGGGATGATGATATGTATTTTTCCTCTCTCCCGTCTTGTTTTTCAAACTTAATACAATTGGAGAAGTTGGCTCCGAATAATCTGTAAGGCTTCCAGCTAGAGAATACGTCAAAACCCGTATTTCAACAAAGTTTAACACTCAATTTAGTTAGGTAAATTATTTTTATCCAGTTTATTTCAGTTATATATGTTATACGCATAAAGAATTCCTCTTCACTTGCCGTATAAAATCACTTACCTGTACATGGACTATAAAGCTTTCCGCCCATGACTCGAACAAAATAACGTTTTCATGAGATCAATAATATGTTAAAGAACAAATTTCCCATCGATAATCATATCGAAATATTTGCCGTTTTTGAGTTATGAAGCAAAAACTTTCAAGGGCCCCAGATCCCTAATTTGAGGGGCCAGCCCCTTTTTAATGATGTGAAATTAAAGATCTTGAAATTGTGCACAACCTTTATTCAACCTGTCTTAATTTAATTTAATTTTAATTTTTAGTTTAAAAGATACATAAGGAAATATATATAAATTTCCTCGTTTTGGGAGTTCTAATTTTTGACCCCTATCTAGCACCGTTTTGAGCGCAGAACTTCAATCCTTCTGTTATCTAAAATCAGTTGAATTTCTGCTCCAGCTTATGCCATCTCCAGCCTTTGTCTGCAAATGAAAGCCTATAAATTTTCGTTTAAAGGGAAATAGCTCAAAGACGGAAATGAAATTTTCAAATGTTATTCTGATAGAGTTTAGTAACGTCTATAAACTCTGAAAATCTGAGCGAAATCCTTTGAGAAATTAATAAGATATGAGGCCTCAAAGTTGGCGTCTAGGAAGTAGAAGAAAAAAAAGAATAATAACCTATACCAACAGAATCAGTAGAAGGTCTTGGAAACGGAAGACCTTAATGAAATGTGAAGGAATACTTGGATTGTCACGTCATAGTTACGTTGCAAATCTGTGTCAAACTAACATTTTAATCCAAGGTCTTCTCAAACGTCTTCTATACTTGGCTTTGTCTGTTTCTCAAAGTAGAAAAAAGAAAAGACTAATAGTGCAAATGAAATGAGATACCTACTATTTTTTTGTTTTACACCAGGGAAAAACATCTTAAATCATATTTAAAAGTAATAGTTTTTAAAGAAACAATATCGATGCATATAGAAGTATGAAACGTAACCACTGTTTTCCTATGCACACTTGTGTCATATTAAACTAATACAAAAGACAAAAATAAGCAAACCATTTTTAATAAGTTTGTTTAATGGATTTTATATTAACATTCTTTTTTCAAAGATCTAATTCAAGTTATTGAACATCAATGGTATCTGATTCCTTGACCGTTGTAGGGCAAGACAGTGTAACTAATCGGGATAGTTTATTTTGGGGATAAACAGGAAATTAAGAAAAGGTTAGAATTATAACCATTTCACTGCTTTAGTGTTACTTACCTATATGCAGTATAGAATGTGTACAATGTGTTAAATATACTTTTTAAACCTCAAAATTTAGGCTATAAGAAAGTTCTTTTTTCTTAATTTCATTGAAGCTATCAATCAAACCTATTTAATGGAACATTCCAAAGAAAAGGCGCAAAGATTTACTCGTGGCGTTTGGCGCGAAATTATGAATAGTGGCACGCCTTTCATAAATCGTAGACAGGTGTACTGTTGCAGAGGTATATACAAGTACATTAAGAGCTGTAGTCCCAATAGCGTTATGGTTAGCGCGTTGGGAATAAAAGAGAAAAAAAGCGCGTTGGATTCTCACGCTGGCGATCTGGGTTCAATCCCCCTTGTGACTTAAATTTCTTAATCACTTTACGTGGTTGTTTTTCCAAGAATCCGACGGAAGACCTCGTTGCTTGCAACGAAATCGTTCTAGTTATTAATATATTTTGTCTCTTTGATAAAAAAAATAAGACTTCTTATTTAATTCTTTTTTAATATATTTTAGTGCTTTCGGCAGTTTTGATACAAAATATCGTATGTATTCATCAGGATGAAATTCAAAAGATATTACGGATACACAACTCGTTCAGAAGGAATTTTGCCAAACAGGGCTTATCAAGCCAGATATCAAATATGAATTCACTAGTAAGTATTTCCGAGGAAAAACATCATTATTATTATGTTCTTTGATGAAATATATGAAGAAAACAAATAGTATTAGAAATACAGGTTCTTAACTAGATTGCACAAGTAAAGGTATTTTAAAGGATACCAGTATCATGGCATTTTCAAGGATTGGCAATTTATTCATCCCCGAGGTATTGATGTAAAATAACATCTGATATATTTAAGGAATCATTGTCTAGTTAGTATAGTATGCCAGAGCATCAACGATAGTGGGGAAACATGGGATAATTTGCATAACGGACGAAGTCCGTTATTCATAAATTATCCCATGTTTCCCACCATCGTTGATTCCCTTGGCACACTATACTAACTAGACAGTGATTCTTTATATTTCCATTTCATTCTGAAATTTTATTGTAGATTTAGACTTAAAAATGTAGACATCGATTTAAATTACACGAGGACTCCCATGCCAATTTCAATAGTCCTCGCCTACTGACGTCAAACACAAAGGCAGCCGCACGAGATTTACATGCATATTTGGCCTCCTTAGCGTCAGACACAGAGATAGATGCGTACGAGATTTGCATGCATATTAGGCCTCCTTAGCTCCTGACCTATCGACCTGCCTAATTTAAATACCGGTAGAATTATCGAGAAATCAACTCCGCTAACTTTCAAAGAGTTATCACAGAGAGAAAAATTCGAAATGGAAATATAAAAATATCAATGGTTTTGGAATTTAAAGCAACAGGCGGCCAAATTCATAGAAGTTGTTGAACTATGGGTTAGTCAATCAGATAGTAATTTAATTTTCAAAAAACTTTTTCATCTAAACTATATGTTTGCGATTCTTTTTTTTTTTTTGTCACAGGTATGGAATAATCTATTAGCGGTTGAAGCCGAACAACGGGTATCATGTATGCCACATTCTGAGGAAAATTCAAATCATTATTTTGGGAGGCAAATTAATGCAGGAATAACAAGGAATGGGAATCTGACGAAAGTGATCGGTGACTGGCTGAGAGAGGGACAGTACTTTATTCCGGAAATTGAAACATGTCTCGATATTGAAGAATGCCAAAACTTTATGACGGTATTTTTCTAAAAGGCATTGATTTTTTTGAAGAGTGGATAAGTATTTTCTATGATAGATCTATTTAAAATCCATCTTTCAAATTACAAAAATAACTAAGCTATATTATTATTCAGGTAAATTGTTTAAACAAATCTTTAACCGTCTATCATGACCAACAATCTTGATAATAGTAACCATTCATTCTATTTTCAGATAATAAGGGCACAATTACGGTTTTTGGGATGTGCTTTTCGAAGAAATTGTAGCAGTCATAAAATTCCCTACGATGTTCTTTTATGCATTTATGAGGGAAAGTACGAGATTAATTTGTAATTTTCGTTGCTATAGCATTCATTTTTTATGGGTAGCATTGATATTGCAAATGCATTTCTTTCTAGATTATTAAACCAAATTTGACACAGATACACGTAGAATAAATAATCATGTATTTATTACATTTCGAATTGATTGATATCTATTTTAATGCTTATTATAGCCAGGAAAGTCATAAACTCTTCAAGAAAGGCCATGTCTGCACACATTGCGAACATCAAACGTCGTTCTGTAATGATGGACTGTGCGGTATGTATCCCAATATCGTTTTATTTATGTTTTTAGAAAATAAAAACTGTCGATATTAATTAGATTTAGGAGATGGTCTCTTCTCCTGGGCACCTAATCTCACCCCTGGAATTTGTAGCAGGCCATGTTTATGTATTGTTCACAATATTGTAATATTTTTAGATTTTACGAGCTCGAACGCTGTTCTTTATCTTCACGTTTTATTTGGATTTGAGGGAAAATCTGCCATTTGCATAGCTCTCATGAATTCATAGATTAGTAAAATTTAAAATATTTGAAGAAATGACGTCCATTAAAACAAATGATCTTGTAATCATTTTTTGAAAGTAAATAACCTTGATATCTGTTTTTGAAAGTCGGGTAGGAATTCTAAATTGCTAAAAGGAATATTTTTTTCCCATTTTCGTGGTCCAACCTCTGAAATTTCAATGGCTTTATGTTTTATTATACAGATTTGTGATATTTGTAGCTTTTGAAATAGATCACCTTTCGATATTCTCACGCTGTCTGAAATATGTATCAATGACGGTTGTTAGAAATTCTTCCACGACATACAAAAGAAGAAAATTCTGTCTTGTCTAAAGAGCGACAACTCTTATTGTCTTTTTTTGAAAAAAAAAATTATCAGTCTTATCATTTTGATATGATATAAGAATAACAATTTTTAGAGTAAAGAAATACTGTTTAGAAATTCTGTTTAGATGCAATATGCAATAAATATTTATTTAATGAAAAGTCTATTAAAATTATTATGGATCCAATAATGGATCTAGTACACAATTATGTGTACAATTAAACGATTTTTTTAAATCGGAGATTTAAATATAAAGAGTATTAAATATTCCATAATCCACAGCACAACGGTACATGTGCATGGTACAAAAACAGTTGCATATGTTAACCATAAACTTTTTAAATCTGAATAGAATTCATTTATCTTTAAAGGAGTCCTTATTTGCATTACAAAAAGGGCAATGTTGAATTTATATAAATACTTCATATTTTAAAGTCAGTGACATCCACACAAAATAATTAGAACAATGTTATTTCGGCTAATTTTATTTTAGACGTTTTAATAAAGCCAAGGCTACGTTTATAAGTGCTGGAACCTATATATATTTGTGTTAATGCATTCGATTCAATATGCGTACGTGATATGGACGAAATCCACTAATATGAATACGGAAAATTACGAGTTTGATAATCGACATCAAATCGATGATTTTCTATTTATTTCTTTTTTACAAAAAAGACAAAAAATTAAAAAAACAATATATACAAAATCAATCAATTAAACAAACAAATGAATTACATTACAAATTAAATTACATAATGAAATATACGGAGATTATTTAAGCTCAAAAATTCATTCCAATGATAAAACTCAGGAGCAGAACGATTATGTATCTCTTGATCATCAGAAGTGGGATCAGGTGCAATAGAGGAATGAGCCTCACCTGCTGATCTGTCACCTACAATGTGCTATTTCTTATGCCTGGAAAATCCACAAACCATTGCAATGACCATAAAAGGTGACTTGTGTGTACTATTAATTTTTTAAAGTAATTTTGCAAATGACAAATGCCAAGTTAAATAAATTTTGCGAGTGTCTTTTTTATTGAAAAAGCAGCTGTCGATTATATTAAAAAGCCTGTATTGTAATTTATCGTCTGGAAATGCTAAATATATACAAACAAAAAGCCTTATAATTGTTGTTATTGCTTTCAGTAAAATTTTGTGATTTCTAATTGTCCAAAAGTTCTGCATTTTTTACATTTGCAAATATTTGCGTATGTTTTACACATATTCTGAAATGTAATTTTTTCACTGTACTCATGAAGTTTGTCATTCACTGTTGCTTATATTTTAAAGAGGTATGAAGAAAGATGCTTGGTAGAACATTAACTTGAACCTGTTATATGTCTTTGTTTGTAGAAATTTTATGAAATTTCGAAATCCAGTATAAGCATGATAATTAATTTTTTTTTTGTTTGTCGAGAATATCAAAAATAATTAAAGCTGATAAATGATTTTGAAAAAAAATTGTCATGAAAAAGGGGGAACTATGGGGTTGTAAGTTGAATTACCACTTGTATAAAAAAAAAACCAAATACAATACCAATGCAAAACAAGTGTCTGAGAGTATCGCAATATGCAGGGTATTATATAATGTTATCCTTAAGAACAACGGGATCACAGTAGAGGAAAATTATTGCTAACTGAGTACGCAATACTCTCAGAATGCTTGTTTGACATGTTTCTAATTCATTAGTATGTCCACGATACGATTACCTATGGTTTATTTGATTTTGATATTGTTTTAAGATATGATTTTTCCAAATAACAAACCACGATTCTCTTATTTTATATATTTTAACTAATAAGTATTTATAAAGTGCTTCCGACCCCACTTCTTGAGCTTTTATTTTGAATGTTCTTTTTTATTTATTCCCTATTTAGAGATTTCAGATGATTGTAGATTTTTTAAAATCAAATTCTGTTCGCTTTCTTCACTTTTAACATTTTTTTTATTTTTGGCTGGCTTTCCAAACTTTTTAAATACAAAAAAGTTTACATGACCTTGATATCGAGTATCTGAAACATAATCCTCCTAAGTGTTCATGTTCTTCTTCACCCTATAATTATAGTCCTGCTGGACACGATATTAAAGGTAACGTAAATATTGTTAATAATGAGGACCTTAAATCACTTAAAGGTCCTAAGTTTAGGGAATCCCGATCCTTCAACTGGCGTCGAACTTTTATGGATTCTTTTGAAGATTACGCCAGGCGATGGGCCTAATATGAAGAAGACGTTGACACTTTGATAGAATGGATGAAATGTATCAGATTCATGTTAAAATCTCGTATTAAAAGATTCAGGGGAAATCTGAAATCATCTATCCTTCTGTATTCAGTCATCCAGAAGTGAAAAAAGAATTAGATAGGTTACATGATCAGTACGTACTGGTCCCTGCTGACAAAGCAGGTAACAACATTGTCTAAATTTGTTAGGCTCATACTGTAAGTTGTATTTTAGAAGAACTTCGATTTAATTCTACAAGTGGTAATCCAAATATTAATTATATATAATTATACTTCTTACTTCTCTTTCTAAGGAAAGAAATTCTTCAAAATCATATGCTCGCTTTGAATATTTTTAATATCTAAAAGAACCAAAATGAATTTGAACAACCATATACATGTTGGATTCCGAAACTTCATAAGAATCCTTACAAACAAAGATACACAGCGGGTTCCAGTGAACGTTCTATCAAGCTTCACTCAGATTTTAACAGTAGTTAAGTAGAATCTTCAAGAGAACTGTACAATAATATATTCAAGAAATGGTGTGAATCAGATGTGGATACTTATAATTTCCAGGAACTTTTAAACAGGAAATCACAAGATTTTACCAAAATCAACAGCTTAAAAACTTACAACTTTTCAACTCTATACACACCATTCCCCGCGATAAAATAAAATCCAGGCTCTTTGATATCATTGGCAGCTGCTTTTTCAATAAAAATGGAACTCGTAAATTTACTTACCTTATCACTGTCATTTGCAAAATTATTTCGTTAAAACAGATCTTGAATACTGTTCGTTTTTCTCCATATCTTTCATTTCATATATAAAAAACTCCGATTCTGAAGTGCTATAAAGCAGTAATTTGTCTTTTATATTGTCACAGTAGCTAAGTCAGTAGGGCATTCGTTGCGTGGTCATCAGGTCATGTGTTCGAATCACGGCAGCGATTTGTCGATAAAGAAAACCAGGTAGCAATTGTTCGTTTGTCAAGCGCTTTGCTTGGTAATTTGAAGTGAAAGTTGTGAGTCTTTCGGATAAGATCTTAAAAACTGAGGATCCTTATCAAGATAGGCATTGACGCGATCAAGAACATTCACTTATTTTATTTATCTTAGTATATCCTTATCACCTGTGTATGGGGTTTATGTCTCCTAGTCGATTCAATACGCAAGCGCATGCTCTTAATACGAACACTTTATAAAAAGAAACAAGTCATTGAAAAACAAGTTGATGAAACAAGGAAATCAACAGTCCTGTTTAAAGTCATTATTTGGCAAGTTTTATGGTCGGAAAAATGGCCTTGTCAGACAATACAATGAATTATTGAGTCAAATACTGACTGATGATTTTCCTACTTATAATAATCTCTATTCAGGGTCTTATTGTTAGGACATTATTAACATAACTTCCCGTGCTTACTCCTCTAATGCGACTTGTCCTACAACTGATGTTTAAGAGGCCCTTGTTTGCATGGCTTCTGATCTGTTTTGTTTGAATGGACTTTAGAATTTAAATGCTATTCTTTATCTCCGTATATTTTACTTTCAACCTTTTACTCTTCCACACTTCTAGTTATTACAACTAAATGATTTCAGATGTATATTTCTATAGGTTTGATCCTTAAAGTTGATATCTTCAGGATTTCAATGGTCCGTTTAAAAAATACCTTAGACTACCTAAAGATTAGAGCTGATTTCCTAGATTTTCTATGGTTTGATTCTTTTTTAACGTTTGTTTCTAACCTTAAAATTCTTTAACTTTAATATGCTTAAATTTTCATACATTTTAAGCAATGTCTCTATGATGAATATATTCTGGATGAAGTTTTTATTAAGCTTATGTTTGTGAACTTTGATTCTTGGAAGTATCCTAATGTTATCAAGAGTTTTTTTTCTCTGAGAGCGCTATGCTTTTTATATATCTTACGGTTATCTGTACATTATTTCTAAGTGCCCATTCAGTCACAATTCTGATGCAATTGTTTTGTAAAACACGTTTTCATTGGCTAATGTACTGATGTTTAAAGCAGTAAAACGAGCATTAAAGAGGCAGAAAGCTTTTCATTGTGACGTCATAATTGAGCGACGCAAAATCACAATGTTCCGTGACGTATTTCATATATAACGAAACTCAACAAAATGAGATGTAAACAAAAAACAAAATGCGTGGATTGCATTAGAATGGGAATAA